TTAGTGAAAAAACAATATTTTGTGGGGAACAAATAAAAGTGTTACACTAAATGTGGTAAAATGTTACACATTGCTATTTGTATTATTATAAAATCCATTCATTAAAAACATTCATGAATGTATTTATATATAAATATATACTATAAAATGTAAATAAATTTATTTTAAATGTATAGCATATTTTTTAATAAGGCAACAACATAGCGTGTTGCTTCATTCTGCACACCGTGTTGCATCATTCTGCACACCGGATGCGCACATTGTAAGCACTTCGTGTGAAAAACTGCAAAGCACAAAGGGAAGAGAAATGTATGCGTAGTGTATTATATCTGTGCAACAGTTATTGAGCCTTTCTTTTAACAGTTTTAAATTTCAGTTACGGTGCACGTTAAAAACAATTTATAGTATTTTCTACACCTGTGTTTTGTTCTCACAGACACCCGGTAGCAAGTAACAAAACACAGCAGAGAAAAGAGTTTGTGTGAACTTTAATGTAAGGACTTAAATATTCATATGTAGCTCACATTAAGCTATCGTATGGCTTCAGAAGTAACACAGAATAATTCGCACAATCGGAAAAAAAAAAAATCTCTGATTTGGATCGGCCCTCTCTGACCGATACCCGATCCGAGAAAAATGGCACTATCCGAGCCGAGACCCGATATGAATATCGGATCGGCGCATCCCTAGAATAAATAGTAGATCATATTCACTATTGGGATAAATGCTAGTATGTATCTAATAAACAAGTACTAATATCTAATGAATAGTGAAATAATTATAGTGAAATTGGGAAAAATGTCACTATTGGATTAATTGTTAGTAAGTTAAGTGATAGTAACACAAAAATAGATACTATTTGTTGCAAAGGAATAATTGCTTAAACAGCTTGCCATACACAGTCTGTAATGGTTTCTTTTTGCTAAGCAAAAGGACAGGTGCAGTCAGTCATATTCAAATCCATGTTTTGTAACATGCAGACAAAACAAATAAAACTGGAAAAACCACATCACATGTCTGATGTGAAAGACCTTGATAACCACAGCCTCTTCCTTTCAGCGTGACGTTGCATTTTATTGACATTGATCATGTGCTTATGCTTACTGGAGCATATTATGCCTTAAGCCCAATAAGCTTTATCATAGGGAATCCTTGTAATATTTTATTTGTTTTATTTTCTCTAAAATTTATGTTCTCTCTTCTCACTATTTGCCAAGTCAACACCTACTCGCTTTCCTGGATAACATTCAGGCCTACTCATCATCCCTTTCTACCCCTCTCTGCAAATTATACAGCTCAATACCCACATCCATTTCCCCAGGCTTGCTTAAAAACTATTATTATTTGTTTCTTGACATTGTACATTGTGCATTGTTGTTCTACAAATTTTATACAGTTTTTCAAACAATAGGTGTTGGCGATATGTCCTTTTGTCTTGTAGTTGAGGAGTAGGTGCTGTTTTCTTTTGGGCACAGTGCTTGGTGCTTTTCAGCTGACCAAATTCTGAAGTTTGTCATTCAGTTGATGGACAATTGCAAATATCTGCTCAGCCACTCTTTAAAATCATCAACCTTATCTAATTTAGCTTGGTTCCTGTGCATTGGTTAGCTGTCATAATATGCTCATGCATGCATGCTAATGCATCCTGTAACCAATGCAAACAGAGTCACGTATAAAGCTCCTGTTTATGCAGCCATGAACTGCCTCAGTTTATTTCGCATAATGTTATTTAATCTATGCCATTTAATCAATGCCATTCAGTGTAGTGTAAAAGCACATTCTCCATATTAAATGGGAGCAAGAGGATGATGTTTACCTTCACGAGTCTTCATCCACATGGAAATAAAATGCTGCGATGGTGGTTTAAAGCTGGAATCTGCATCTTCCATGCTCATTTGGAATATGCCTTGGAGAAATATGAATGAATTTGACGTAGGTCCATAGATTACAGAATGGACTAAATATTCATGGAAATAATCGAGACACACATCTGCTCTGGAGCTTTGTGAGGCTTTTAGGGAATTTGTCAATTGACCATTTTTTTAACTGGTGATTTAAAACTTTGTTCATACACATGTTTTCAGATAATCATGAAATATACACTACTGTTCTCTTACATTTTATTAATTAATTCCTTTGATGGCAAAGCTGAATTATAATATGCTGATTTGGCTTCAAAAAACATTTCTTATTATTATCAATGTTGAAAACAGATGTGCTGCTTAATATTTTTGTGGAAACTTATGTAGTTTTTTCAGGATTCTTTAATGACACAAGTTCAAAATAACAGCATTTATTAATTTGTTATAAATATATTTCTCTGTAACGTCGTAAAAGTATTTACTGTCACTTTTGATCAGTTTAATGCTCTGAATAATAGCATTCATTTCTTAAAAAAAAAACGTACTGCCCCTAAGCATTTGAAGGTAGTGTATGTTGAGTTTTGTATTTTTAAGAGCCACATGCATTAGAAGGCTGTGAAATAAGAAAAAACAGTTAAGCTTCACTTACAGCATATTCTATTGATTAATAATTTTAGTTTTTGTCTAATCTGCATTTGTCATTGTTTCTCAAAATAGCCAGGTTTGTTGTTTTGTTTTGAGTGCTGTGGCTTCTAAGCACAAG